TAATAACCTCATTCAATTCATACTGAAAGTGTAATTGGACTAAAGTCAAAACGTTTTGTTTTACTGACAAACAAACACACAAATTATAAGTTTTACATTCAAGTAACATAACGTATACATTTAATGTGAAGTATAGCCTAGAAGCTTAACGTCACTTTAAGGCCCCCAAGACACGAAATAAAGTTCTCGAGGTTAAACAAAAGAAAAGTCCCGATAAGTACTCGAGACAAGTGAGTAACGGTACTTAAGAAAAGAAAGCTACGTTAAGCGAAAAAAGTATTTCTGAAAAAAAAAAACAGAATGTATTACGAGACTTGTTCACAAAGTCCTTAAGACAAGCAACGATTTAAAAAGTTGCAATAAAATGTTATAAAATGTATTTTATTTTTATTTATTTATTAGACACTGTATTATGAAGACTACAGGAGGTACATATATATCAGATAATATATAAACTCAAGTATCATTTTTAGGACCGCGCTACGGGCTACGAGCGGATTGCTACGGGCTACGAAAGGTCGTAGACAACGAAAGCTATAGGGCTACATAATCATCTATCATCCCAGGATAGTCAAACTTTCAAATCATATGTATTTTATACGTATATAAATATGGCAAGTGTTTAGTTTTTGTTTCAATTCATTTAAAAATTATAACCCGTCTTTTAAAAATTTAATTGACATGACATTGAAGTGTGTAAAAACAATTCTGAAAACAAAATAATTCATCAAAATTATTACTAACAGGATTACACAATACTGTCTTCTATTGGAGATCTTATTCCAAATCCAGTCTTCAAGGTTTTTCTCAACTTACTTTTTAAATCCATTCCGTTTAATTCATGGAGAAAAAATGGATCCCAAAAAAGGACGTGGACAATAGGATTAGGTAGGCTCACACTAATGAAGGGGATACTTAATCGCTTGTGAAAGATAAATGGTGGGAATAACAGGAAGTACATGACGAATATTATGTTGGTAGCCCCGTTTTTTTGTTCTACCTTCGCGGTAAAAATTAACGGTCTTTTTTTGAATTGAGTTTGGAACGCGTATGATGATTTATTGTTTATTGAAATTTTATGACAGTTTAATTTTTGTTTCTTAATATATTTTATTTTTTGTAACTTCAATTCAAAATTTTTAGTCTTTTTATCGATTAACGACATAAATTTAATTGATTTGTCAAGAAAGTGGTTGATAAAACTGTTTTTTGTCAGGATTATATAATCTTTTTGAAGGTCTTTTAAGTTTGTGAACTTTTAAATAACGTTTAATTTATTATTCTTAATAACAGAAAATTTGTCGCATTTTCTATTTATTAATAGGGGTAAGTGTTAAGACGTGTGTAAACACTAAGCAGAGACAAGAGCGTGTGTTGATATTGTAATGTTTGTGCAATAGCTTTAATAAATAAATAAAACATTTATATTACATCTAATCTGTCTAAAAGTAAAACAATAATTTCAAAACCAATATAAAATAAACCACAACGAGGCTATAAATTGGCCTTCCTTGATTAGGAAGGCCAATTTAAAGCCTCGTTAAAAGCAATTCATAACATTTTCACACAAAAGACCGGAAAAGCGCAAACAAAACGAAATATACGATAGCGATAAACCTCGGATTCACGGTTATATTGAATGACAAGTGACGATATTTCATATTGCAGTGGCCGGGAATAGCCGGGTATAGGCCAAGCCTTTTGTCCGGACACGATAACTCTGTCAACGAAGTCCATGTTTATTCTCTTTTCATTTCCACTATAGTTTAATCCGTGACGAGCGGCCATGACAGTTTTGTTTTTTTTTATTTCTGCCTCTACCGGGAAAATGGTTCGTGCATTCAGCTTTGTTATTTTAGAATAGAGTTTCAATAGTTAACGGATTTAAAGGATTTATATTTATTTATTTTTCTGTGACGTTTTATTTTATGTCATTTTTTGTAGTTTTCTTTTTTATATGGGTAATACTTACTATTCGTATTATGAATATTGAAAGTAAAAGGCTCAGTAGAAATTCAAATACAAATTTTTGTTAATTACAGTCTTGAAAAGCCTAGCTAATTGAACCCTTTAATTAACTCTTGGCTTAAACAAGCAATAAATCAACTTGCTCTCGAATTCAATGTTTTAACCGAAATTATTTCAATGAATTAGCCAAGTAAGCGCTTGGCTTCGTTTCAGTGGAAAGAAATTTTGAATATTTTAGGGTATTTTAGCCTTGTCATTTTAGAAATAAATTTTAGATAAGTTTATCATCAGAAATATTTGTATTACAACCATACTTAATGGAAAAGAATATTTATTGCCATTCTTAGACACACTAAGATTGATTTTGTTGATAAAGTGGTTGCTATGGGCTAGTTTTAGCAACTACTAATGATGAGAGATATTCTCTCGGTTATAGAAGAGTCTTTTCTATAAAATTAAAGTATGATTTTGCGCAGTGTATGTACCTTATATATAGTTATTATATTAAATTGTAAATTATAATAGCCATTAGCTTATCTCCGCATTACTCAAGGCTCGACTAGTAGAAAATGCTCAAGGCAGTAAGTCCGCCTTTTTACAGTAAAGTATAAATAAACTTTGTCCATTGAAACATTACTTATATAATATTCCAGGCCCGAGCGTACGGCGCGTAGCGTTCCGCGCGCGCCTCAAAGATCCAATATACCACCACAGACGGGGCCCTATAGGGCTGACGTTCAGCCGGGGTTGCGGGGTAAGCGCAATGAGGCACCGCGAGATCGGCCCAGAGCAGGAGAAGGAACAGGGGGGTTTTTAGTCAGTCAGAGTCTGACACTCCCTCCCGCCCAGCCCTGGGCGGGAGAAGTCATTTGAGGATTTTCTCCTCACAAAAAAAAACCTATATAATATTAGTACAGATAAGATTTGGAAAGTCAATAAGACACATTCTGTCTAATCACTGAAGAAAAAGAAGGCTAAACTCATTTCGTACCATCCAAATTAATCACGGACAATCAAACCAAAATTATGGCTGTAATCCACTCATCTTATTGCGAAAACTCGCACGTAATCCTCAATTGACATTCCTGTCAGACTCAATGAGAATGCCAGAAGAAACTACATGTAAGAAAAACGTGTCCACTATAATATTATACGTTTCCCCACCCTCCTTAAGGCAACTCCGATATAGAATAGAGTAATCGGTATTGCCAGAATAAAAATAACCATAAATAATTTATTGTTCGACACGAATGTAATATTGTTGGCCTAGGAGTGAATTCTGAACTCAAGATTGTAAGTTGGATTTGATTTTTTTGGTCTGATATTGTAGTTTTTTTATTTTCATGTTCTTGTTTATCTTGAGCCCAAATTTTTTCTATTTTAGGTCAATCCTATGGAGGTTTTAATCCATAAACAGGTAAAAAATTATATACGTATATACATTCCATTTATTTTTAAATTTACTTTAAGTACTTGGTGATAAGTTTATCTTTTGTATGTTATTTTTTTTACTTGAACATTAAAGGCACAAAATTAATTATGTTCCTAGTATTGATGACTATCAATATTGAACCCTACTTAAAAACGATAAGGCTTTATTTTTTATTTCTCGACTTGTAGCTATTTTAAAACCAAATGTACGCCACTAAACATGTGAAAAGTACTTGACTGAAAGAGCTTTTATTGGAGAAGTGTTTTCTAAGAATCTGCAACATTATCTAAAGTGCCTGAAATTCACTTCAGCATTAACGTTTTCAATTTCAGTGACGAAATTCTTCTTAGCTTACTTTAGTTACTTTTCAGCGCATGAGTTTCTCGGGGGATTGAAAATTCTATTAGGTATCGTGTTTCTTTACTTTTTATTCTTTTTTGTTCGGTTATCGAATAACATACATATTCTAAGGGCTGTTTTTTTTCAATGGTAAGATAAAAGTTACCCGGGGAATAATTATCATGCTATCGCGTCAGAATGTTTGTATAAGACAGTGACAGCAAAAATTTTATTACTCAGACAACATTTTATTTGACTATTGAAAAATCAGCTCTAAATCGAAAAAAGAACATAAAATTTTATCTGATATACTTTAACAACTCGAAAATGAGACGATTCAAAAATGGAATTCTTTTGAAATAACCTTAGTAGCTTTATACTTAAAATTGCTTTGAACACAGCACTAGAACATAACTCTCTCTTTTATCTCAAAAACCACTTATCAAAGTGTTTACATCGGTATCAAAAAACCCATAAACATTCACAGTAAGCGACGCCGGAAAGCATAAGGTGTATAACTCGGTATCCATTTGCATAAGTAGGTACGGAATATAGCCACAAACGCGGCTAGAACGTTAGTAGCTACCAAACTGCTTTGCTAGCATTTTCTTGGCTTATTTTCTTTTCCAGTGTAAAGGTATCCATCTTGGTAAATAAGACGTTAATGTGAGTGTTTCTTCGCGAAAAAGAATTTTTTGTTTTTGTGCACATGTAGGTATATTTTTGTAGAAAACTTTGAAAGTAAAATGTCGGCTTGTCTTCGATCTGTTTCATGTTTTATGATGAATTATTTTTTTAACTCAAAAAATATATTTAAATTAATTTATTCTAGCTAACTATTCAAATATTATTAAAAATTGCCATTCAACATTTTCGGTCACAGTACAGCAGAAATTATTAATTCTTTCTTTTTTCTTAAATAAATCCTTAGTGAATTCCACGATGATATAATCTATTTATAAAGCTTTTATATACCATGGATATTAATGTCTACATGAACATTACTCATTGTGAATTTTCCCATTTTAATTTCCCTGAAGACAAGGTGAAGCGGAGAACCGGATAAAAAAGTTGCAAAGGTATGACCTATTTTAAAAGGACTCTTATAAGGGTTAAAACTACTATATATATCTTTATAAGTATATACTATTATTATTTTAATTTAAAGCTAAGAAGAGAGACACTATTTCATTATACACGTGCTAAATGACCCAATAATTAGAAATCCAAAAAAAAAATCATTAAAAAAAAATAGACTCACCAATAAGATCAGCGATTTTCCAAATAAGATCTGAAAACAAACAAATTGTAGTTAATTTAACTTACAAATATTTAAATCAAATTTTGATAAATTTAATACAACTCTGAGTTGACCTATCTAATTGAAGAACTAGTGTTATAATTGAATTTACTCAATTGTAAACTCTCCCGGGGCCAAAGTTAAGATACAGTCGGACTGGCCAACCAGTTTCTTTGGCATTTGATCTTTAAATGACTGACCACTGGAATCATTACAAGAATCTTTTACACCCCAGAGAATACGTTAATATTAATCATGGTGGTCAAGACGTAGTCTTGAAATCCCTTTTTGGGGTCAAGTTTTGGGAGTCGGATGAAAATCTTATTTGTATAGTACAAAGTCAAATTAATGTAGCCATTAATCAGTTCTAATTAGTAGTAGAGTAAATTCAACGGACAGTAAAAAATAACGTAACTAATAAAAAAGACAAAAGAATTACAGGTGTTGATAATGCAGAAGAAAATTGCCAAATGCCACTAGTATTCACAAAACACCTAGTGAATTTTTGTCGAGTTTTTTAATTGGAGTAAATTGGTAGCAACTTTGTCACATACGTAAAAGGCGAAATAAAGAAGTGCAGGCCCATTCAAAAATGGTAGAACAAATTTCAACTGTCATAGTCTAAACCAGTCCTTTGATCCACGCAGACCAAATTGTCACCAAAAAAACAATTCCAAAACTGAATCTTTAAAGCACATTTTTGTTTGACAAGCTTTAATTGGACCATTCTCTTTCAACTTTCCTTTCGGTCCCACACGACACCGTTTCACTGAATTCCTTTTGAATTCTTTGACAGTCCATAAATTCAGCACGAAGTCTCTGACTAATGTTTTATCTTTCGCAATCTTTTCTACATCCCCTGGAGGTTGACTTAATATTTTTAACGCTATTCCAGAAAACGAACCTCAAATTTATCAAACTCTGCCAATATTTTTCTTGGGCCTTTTTTACCCCGTGATAAATTGCCTATATGCTTCCTTTTTAATGGCTATGGTGGGAAAATGAGTATTTTTGGGTATGAATAGAAGCACTTAGCGGTGTCTTAAACACGACGGGCGTAGCGTGTGAAGCTATTATGAACATGAATATTGTTGCAACATATTGACAAATGCTGAAGTTCCTTACCAGCATATACATATGGCTGATGCATGAGGGAACTGCGGGTTTAAAACCTCGCAAGTACCAATGTATGTGACTTTTTCAGAATTCTTTTAACTCTCTATGATAATCTAGACACCGCTAACGTAAGGTGAAGGAAAACATCGTGAAAAACCTTAACTTATAATTTCTAATTATAAGTTTAAAATCGCCCATGCACCTTGATCAAGCGTAGTGATTAATGCTCCAAAGAGTCCTTTGCTTAGCAGTGGCAGTTAACACAATCCTAACTCCCATGTGCATGTATGGATAACTTACAAAAACCTTAAAATATTGCATCACTACAGAAAAGTAATTGTATTACAGACTACTCCGTATTCCTGTGAAATTCGAGGACTCACGTTGCCCCCATAAACACACATTTCCAATAAAAGAAAGCGATTCCAAGAAAACTTTGTCTGAAAATTAATTTGAACTTTACACTTAGAAAAACGAATGTCTAACTAAGAACGAGCGATCGCGTGCTCATTTTACAGGCGCATTACGATTCAATTATCGATACAGAATTCCGAGAATCGAATACGTAAAATGAAATCGATTTTACAAAAAACCTCTCGAATGTAGATCGAATAATGTAATGCAGATGTAAAATTCATTTCGCCATCGAGAGATTTTTTGCACTGAATGTAAAGATGAATGGAATGAAAATAAATAAATTTCAATATTACATTCATGTTTCCATAGTTATTTTTGGATCAGCTTTGGCTAGGTTATAGCTGTAAAAAATTGAGATTACAAAATTCGTGCTAATACTGAGTGCTTTTTTGTAGGTTTTTTTCCGTACATTTGTGCCGAATTTTGGGAAACGCAGAATGGATAGTTCGATTTTGACCCGCTGTTTGTACCTCTAGAATGTGCTAATAGATGTTATCGTATTTCTTTTATTCGTAATTAAATATGTTTGTCAACAGATTCTTTTGCTCTTATACCTTATTCTGAAGAATTCTCGGATGGTACGACTTCTTTACAATATTTCATTCAAGGAGCTTTAATAGCTTCGTATTTGAGTCTTTTTAAAACTCTGTCACTCTGTATAAAATATTCTTTATTAAAAAAAATACTACGTATAGTATATCTATATCCACAAAATACCTTTTTTTTATTGCAACAAGAAGGACTCTGATCCTAAAGACAATTGTCTACATTTTTATCATCTATTCTAAGTTTATTCAAAACAAAACCCATTTTAAACCAAATAGCCATACGACCTACTTTGCAAATTTCATTTTCGATAAACGATGCACCAAAGCACCGGCTGTCCAATAAAAATACTATTATGGAGGCAGCTGCCCCGCTAACGGCGAAAATTTTATTTCAAATTTTCGAATATTATAACGGACGGCGCGGCGATGACGTATTATCCGCTCTGATACCGCTTTGATAAATTTGTCAGATAAAGAGGCTCAAGAGCTCTGTCCTTCCACCAAAGATGGCGTTTACTATTAATGTCAGATTTACATTTAATCTATCCTTATTACATTTACTTTTTTTGTAAGGGAAATAATCAAATTACTTCTCCCACCCAGGGTGAGGCGAGAGGGAGTGTCAGAGTCTTACTGACTAAAAAACACCCCTGTTCCGTCTCCTGCTTTAGGCCGAGGTCGCGGTCCCTCATTGCGCTTACCCCGTTTACATTTACTTTAACACCTACTTTTGTTATTTAGAACACTACGTACCTATTACTAAACTTGTTTATGAAGACACTGATTAAAAAGGAGTATATAACCATGAAGTTTCTAGCTCATTTTTTTTTTCAATATGCACAAGCGAATTTCGGCTTTAGAAGCTAACATATAATATTTCAGAAGTGTGTTAACTAAGTTGTTAAATTGAAATAAATAAAATGAGTTTTGATTCACAAATTAAACTTAAAATTGTTAAGGGCAAGAACAGGGACACACATAATTTCTGAATAAACAAACATTACGAAAAAGGGCAGTTTACTTATAGGTCTATTAGACCTACAGGCCCTATAAAAACATGGACGCCATTTTACTAATTAACCCTGCAGTCATTATTATAAATTCAATACGGACCCCAATAAAAGAAAGCCCCAGATCCCAGTGGAGGATAAAAAATAATTATATAGGACAAGGCATTTTTTTTTCTTTTTCCATAAGACGAAATTGAAATTGTATGTCCCATTAAGCGGTGGTTCCGTAAAAATTGAAATTGGAAATGAAAGATTTGGAAAACGATATTTCACGGGAAAAAATACACCAAACCTTGTTTTTTTATGTTTCAATTTTCTTACGTTGCGTAAGTACCTATTGCAGTTACGTGAATTAACACGCGTTCTTGAATAAATTCAAACTTAAAATCTGAAAATCTACTTAAGCAATTTTAGTGTTTAAAAAAATATTCCTGAAAGAGAGTCATAGTTATTGTATTTAACTTTTTAATTATTGTTTTGTCCAAGTCTTTGTTCATATAATTACTAAACAGATAAATAAAAACTTTTCATACGTCAAAAATAGAATACTAATCCAAAATGTGGACTCATATCAAGAAGAACGTGTATAAAACTCCGTCGCAACAAATTTTTTTTTGAGATCTAAATTACTTTGTTTGGATTACGATAGATCTGATTTTAAAAATTGAGTTTTAAAAGTCTACTTAGATAATTATTTTCCGTGACGTTGTTATGTGACCGATACGCATAATATTCGTAATGTGTAGTTGGAACTACCACTAACATCAAACAAAGCTAAAAAATGTGCACAGCTGAATAAAGCGTTCCTTTTTTAAGAAGGATTTCACTATAATCCCCAAGCTTGACAGATTACTTGGGGATCATGGTTAAGTCACTGCCTATTTTGAAGATAGGTAGCGCTGCCCATCTTGGGTTGTCTGGTCTTAATGTCAGCACAAAGGGTCAAGATAATACAGATGAAACTATTACACAAAGAAGTCTGTAAAAATAAACCGTTAGATGTAATCTTGATACTTGATAGAAAGGTCTGTAAGATCTTGTTTGCGACAAAATGGCCGGTCTATAGTAGGGTCGAGCTATCTTGATACTATAATCGTTGGAGTTAAGAGATCAATTTTGCCGAGCTTGTTGGAATGACGGTCGTAAGCGAAACTCTTAAACAAGGGTGGAGAAATTAAATTAGAAATATTATCAAGACGTTTTGTTAATTAATTTAAAACTCATATTTTATTATAAACAGTCAAAATCGATTAATCAAAAAAAATCTAATTATTTTTTAATTTCATGATCAAGTAGAAATAGTTTTTTATTTAAAGTCTATAAATTTTATTCGTAATTTAAAAATATTAAAATCTTTTTTAACATTTTATGACCATCGATTAGTTTTTATAAATATGAAGTTATATTCTATTGCGTTTAAATATATTAAGCACTTATTTTAGGGAAAAATATATAAAAGTAAAATATAATTATAAACGTGAATAAAATAAATAAAATATTCACGTATAAATAAAAGCTTAAAAATTCAAAAAAGATCGATTAAAACTTAATACACCATCAAATCGAAAAAGAAAAAAAAATATGATATAATAAAAAAAAATCATAAATATCATCTATATTTAGTACCTATTTCGATCCAGCCTAGCAACTTAAAAATAAAAGAACATCAATAATTGATCGCAAAATGGAACGATTTTAATCAACCTTTTGAAAGGCAACCGTGATTTATAAAATTACCAAATTATAACTTCTAAATCCAAAACATAATAAAATAATTCTTAAACCTTGCCCTTTGTACATATATAAACCAATTTATTTATGACTGTTACGCGTTCATATAAGAACCATATATTTATATACATTTAAAATGGTCGACCAAATTCGATTGTGGCCCTTCCATAAATTTATGACATTTTTATGCGCATAAAAACCATATTTTTACCCAAATCGATACATTTATGGCCGGGTATATGAATTATTTTCCGGATAATTCGCTTTTAAGGCGAAGAAAAGTTTTTTAAGTGTTTTCTAACTGGACGCAATGAAATTCCCTTGTTTCCAGTTAAAGCCGTCTTGCGTAACCTGCCCATTGGAATGTAGGGCGGATTGCTATATAGCTGAAAGTACCTACAATACAAAGAAATTTCTACTACAATTTCAGTCCCATGTGAATAAAATTTTACAACTTAGAACGCCGCACTTTGACTCGCACGCGATGTTTAAAAAGTAATAATTCCGAATTTGAAACTTTTTATTCGTTTTGTTTTATTATTTTTTCATAAATGGAACAATTTTTAATTCAAATACGAGATCGACAACATTTTTGAAACGTTTTTTTTATTTTTATCTTTTAAATTATTTTTACAATAAAATTTAAAACTTCTTACGCAACAAGTATGATTTGTAAAATAGTATTGCGTGTTTATTAAAAATTCAGTACAAAACCGAAAATAAATTTTAAACAGCTTGAAAAGTTTTTTAATACCTATAGTTTTAGCGTAAATTTCCAAAATATGAAATATGTGCACATAATATATGAAAAGCAGCCCGCCGCGTAATAAGAATTAAAAAAATATATACTGATTAATTTTACTCTCTAACTAAAACCTTAAGGTTTAAGTAGTAAGAGTCACGGTTTAATTATACGATATGGGGCACACGCGTATAATTCCCACAGCCAAAGAGATTAAGATCTTAGAGCAAAGTTTTACGAACACCCAACCACCCACTCCTTACAAAGCCCATATGAAACTTGTTAACACGCGAAAATACTTTCCTACAATTTTTCTACACGTATTTCACTTTCAAAACTTTTATCGTCACTACTATTTTTATTTAAAACGAAAGAATAGATAATTACACTTCAAAAAATTAAACAAATCAAAATAAAAATATTCAAAAAAAAAGAAATACTGTACATAAAAATAAATAAAAAGTAAATTTGAAATTAGAATTGAATTCAACGGTTTCGGCGTTCTAAATTTGAAATAGCGTTATCGTAGAAGCTGAGAGAAGTTGTGGGTACCTGGTAAGCGGGTTGCTGCGGTGACGGCTGGACGTCGAATGCCGTACGCCGGGGCCCGTTCCTCCAGCTATACTTGTAACAGGGGTACCGCGCTGCAGTTGCAAAGAATAAGGAGCCTCGCGATTGATCGGCGAAGCTCCAATGTTCTGCACCCTCAATTTACACACAAATTAGGCTCCAAGAGAACTTTTAATGAAAATTTCCACACGATTAGACACGATGACTTGCGATTTCCGATTTAAGTCAAAAGCTTTTTGGAAATCATGCGGTAATTACATGTGTGGCCTAATTTTGAGAATTTGTTATAGTATTTTTGTTTTCTGTTATTGATATGTTCATTAGTAGTAAGAGTATAATCTAATTTCAAAAACGGAAGAAATGATTTTATATTTTCTTTCAGGATTTCCTAATTGATTTTCACGATTACCGGTCGCGATTATAAACAAGAAGTATCGAGTTTCATCTTTGGGCCTGCCAACGTAACATAGTTTTTAATCAATAATTATCAAATATGCAAGTCATTACATGGGTCTGAAAACATCATTATAATTGGTAAAAAGTAGTTGCATATCATGTATTGGGAAATTATATTAAACCTACTTTGATTCATAGATTTGTCACAGACATATAAAAACAAAACCAGTACTAGTCATGAACATAGTACACCTAGCAAAGAAATGAAATAAATTCCAGAATTTAATATTAAAACTACTCATTTAGTAGTCGAGAGAATCTTGGCAAGAATCGTATTCGCAAGGACAGGAATCTTATTGTCTGAAAGTAACCAGCTCGTTAGTGTACAGACACAATAATTGGAAGGCTTCACATGTTTCCGCCATATACACTTAACTACAAGCAGCGTGTGTTGGTGTGTGTGTGTGTGTGTGTGTGTTATACTAGTCGACGATATATTGTCTAATAAGTATATAAATTAAGTGTGGAAGAGTCATTCTTCGGCACGAATGGGTCGATCGGAATGGTACCACGGCCACACAGAAAACCGGCGTGTAACAACCACAGCGTTGTGTTTTGGCCGTGTAAGTGAGGTTACCGAAGGCCCCATTCTTTCTCCCTCCCAATTCTTAAATTTTCGGAACCCTAAACCCCAAAAGGTCGGCAATGTACTCATAAAATCGTCCATAGGCAGTGCTGATTGCTTACCATCAGGTATTCCGAGGGATAGTTTGCCGAGCTACCACATAAAAAAAATGTTGGCAAGTACAATTAATGTGACTTTTTTTTAAATTTGACGTACAGTGAAGGAAGCCGTCGACTGTCTGTGTTTTGTTTCCAGTATTTGTTGTTAAAGCGGCAACAGAAATACGTCATCTGACCAAAACTAAACTGTGGTAGACATTGGTTTAGGATGTACAGTTGACTCTAAGTTACAAGGTACTCGATTTTACCCTTTGTGTACAAAACCCTAAAAAGAAAACGCTTTATCAAAATTAAATCAGTTCTTTCTCCATTATATGTTTCTTCATACTTTTTTTTTGATCAACTAAGTACATAGGTAGTTTTACGACGAAAAAAATGTCCGACAAAACTATACACATAGTTTGTCTGTCGGATCAAAATTTGTTGATACTAAATATACATATTATCTAACGAACTAAGTAAAAATAAATTATAGGATACAGTTAAACATAAAAAAGTAGATTTATATAATGATACTAGCTACACTCGCGCGGTATCACCCGCTGCTCGGCTCCATTTAAACCTAGCGTGATGTTTTATAGCCTATAGAACTCAGGAACATTGTAGCTATCAGTGAAAGAATTTTGGCAATCCGACCCGTGGTACCAAAGATTACCCCCTACATACAAACTTACAAATTTTACCTCCTTATAATATTAGTAGATGATAGATGTATATACAGTAACTATGATTGAAGCAGGTTTATTTGTGGCATATTATTATAAACTACTGCTTTGCACAAGCACCTAGCTCACGGAAAAGAGTAAATACTTACTCCTTTCCATAAAGCAAATGCCTACAAATATAATACTTATATATGTCCCGAATGTCCCGTTGTAATTTTTACATAAGTATAATACATACATGCACATAAGAAAAGCCACAGTCAGAAGCTTATAATAAAATGCTATTAATTAAACATATATCAGTATTAATTTATATAAATTAAAAACTATTTGATGTTTCATCTAGATCCGGTTTAAAGATCAAAGACGTTTTTTTTTAATCTGACCACCAATCACCATATGGCTTGCTCTCAAATAAACCACTGAAGTACACACAGTACACGCCACAGTCGAAATTTAAGAAACGCTTTAAAATATACGTTTTTAGGATACCTAGCTTTTAGGATCGTTACTAGTATTATAAATGTGTACCTGTATTTAGTAATTTGTACATACATGTGTCTTTCTCCAACATCGCTGTGGAACTTTTTTATTGATTAATTTTTGTGTCTAGTGATTTACTGCAAGGAGGTTTTTTTGGACAGGAGACTTTTACGAAATAACTTCTCCCGTCCCAGACCCTCTTACGAGTGGACGTGTCAGAGTCTCTTACTGACTAAAACACCCTTTTCCTTCTCCTGCTATTGGCATAAGGATTTAAGGAAACGTGGACTTATAACTTCTAATTATAAGTTTGAATTGACCTATCTGTCTTAAGCAAGCATGGTGATTAATGCTCGAACGTTCTCCACCCTATTACTTCTCACAACACCGACTGTTTAACCCGTAACAAAGGTCGGCTGTCTCATCAGGATACATTGAAAAATGAATCATCCATTGAATGATTGTATTATTATTTTATTTTCTAACAATTTAAAACAAGTTCAAAGAAGATGTAACAAATAATAGGGACAGGACAAGCCATTTATATTTTACATATAAATACCTAAAACTCATTAGTAAAATCTACTAGCAAAACCATTTTATTATCGCCAAAGCGATTAATTTAAAAATTTTGCAACATTTTATTTAAAAACTAGTGCTCGTACTGGCTTCGCACGGGTGTGAAGCTTTTATTAAACTTATCAAATATTTATGGATGTTCCAATACATATAAATCGACATCCAAACTCGTTACGTAGTTTTAAAGATTTAAGCATAAAAATAATCGAATAGATACATATAGAGACACAGCAAACAATTTTGTTTTTTGTAGTACTAAAAGATTTGGTTTCGCTTAGTAAGTGAAGTTACACGTGGTACAATTACCAAATCATCAATTCCCCATCTTCCAATCAGTAATCCTGAAATAGCTGACAACAACGTACTTGCAATACTTCGAGTGTTCCGGGCACGCTGCTATAGCAGCGGTAGGACCCCTCTTTGAGGAGTGGCTTGAGAGAAGCCACGGTGTCTTCACGTTCCGCCTGACGCAGGTGCTTACCTGGCACGGCAGCTTCAGTAGGTTCCTGTTTCACATCCAGCGGGAGGAAACGCCTAAGTGTTGTCATTGTGAGGACCACCTAGAGCATACGGTGGCGGTGAGTCCTGCCTGGGCTGAGCACCGCCGTATCCTTAGATAAGTGATCGGTGGCTGCGACCTCTCGCGACGGGCTTAGTCGAGGCTATGGTGCGGAGCGAGAAGACCTAGGACGCCGTCTCCTCCTTTTGCAAAAGCAGTTATGCTCACGAAGAGGGAGGCGGACCGCGTGAGGGATCAACTCCTCACGCCCCAGCCGCCGCAGCCGCAGCAGGTGACACTCCGGGCGTCGGGTCTGCGGACGGCGAGTAATTGTAGCTCGCCGCCCGACCACTACTAGACTACCGTATAAGTCATTTCAAGATATTCTCCTCACAAAAAAAAATTCTTCGGATGTTGCGGGTGTTCAAGAACGGCGCCGATTGCTTACGATCAGTTCATCCATCTATTAATTTTCTACCTTGTCACCAAAATAACTTTAGAAAAAACCTTTGCTCAGCAGTGGACACTTATGGGCTGATGATATGATGTGGTATGTGTGCCTGTGGCAAAATAGTCAATGCACAATACGTTCAATCATAATAACAATCTCAACAAATTTCACTGTACGGTTGGTGCGGTGGCTGGGTAAATGGCTGCCGTGCAACGTGTCGCGGGTTCGATTCCCGCACGGAACAACTCTATTGTTGTTCCGGGTCTGGGTGTCATGTGTGTGTGAAATTGTATATTTGTAACCGCACCCACGACACAGGAGAAAATCCTAATGTGGGGCAACGCAAATAAAGAAAAAAAAAGAAAAGAAAAAAAAGAAACACAAATAAACAACAAACGAATTCTATAAACTTTCCAATTCTTTGAAAAGATCAATTCACCTGTTACTTATTACAATGCATTTTTCATACGATAAAAAATAAACAATTTGGTACGATGACTTTTTAAACAATAAGTTGACGTGTTGTACGGTGCGATCGGATCGTGTGAATGGTATCACATGTTTCCTATCGATTCCCAGTTGAACACGCGTGATAGAAAATTGTCGGGAAATAATGTAAATAACTTAATTTTTGATAGGCACATCTACATACATAAAAGGCTTTTGTCAAGCCTTATATTACGTTAATGGGTCATATTCGAAATTTGATGTTCATCGTTGTTGATCGAAATTATGCGTTGAAATGAGAATATTTTGATGTTACATTATATATTATAGGTGCTTTATTACAATGAAATATTTTTTTTATGTGATAGATACAACTTTTTATTTGACAATAAATAATAACATGGTATTGGTAATTCCTTTTTACCAGCTTTTCCCATTGACACAATACGGTAGTTTCCAACTATTCAAATTCAATACTTTTATCCAAATGTCAAAAAATATACCTACTTTTCTATGATATTTGTATGAAAAACTGAGTTGTGAAGTCGTAGTCTTTTTGCGTCAAATAGCTTACTTATTTCTTAATAATTAATTATCTATCAGCTACAAAATATCTAAAACTTAGTGTATCGATCGATTGATGAATAAAAGTATTATTTATTTTTCAATATTTTATTGTATTGAAAAGTCGAATTAATTTATTTTTGACATAACGAACTACCCAATTATAATAAAACCGAAAGTAA